CCCCTAAGGCATGAGCTTTCTGACTCAGAACTTCCCAAGTGATACATTACCAACACTTCTCAAGTGTCCTGAGATGTTGGTTTCCCTCCACCTACAGGTCAACTGGAACGCCTACCTGGTTCCTCCTGTAGACATCTGCTTTGTCAGCTTGCCCCACAGACGTGGTGCGCACAAAAATAGTTGGGACAGTACAGATGTTTTCTGGTTCACTACAATTCCCACAAAGCTGGATTCACACATGTAGTTAGCTGCTGAGCCCTCTTGTGGCCCATTTTAGATCTTTGACTTTATAGTATTTTGACCCATCTGCAATTAATTTTAGTGTAAAGTATGTATTGTAAATTTCCATATTAATAAGAAGATGAAAGCGTCGGGGGGATATTAGGGAGCCATTTTTTTTTTAAAGCAAAAGGCTAGCCAGATTATGTTGAACACAACATAATTTATTATCTTCAACCTATCTTCAACAACCTATCTTCTCTCCACCAATCTGAGTGCTGTGTTTAAATTCTGTCCCATTCTTGAGTCTATTGTTGGACTCTTGTTTCATTGACTGTCTCTGTTAGCTATGGTGCCATACTATTTCACTGTATTTTTATTGATCCTAATATTTAGGCAGATTTTTTTGGTCATTACTTTTCATTTTTAGGATTTTTATGGCTATTCACATCTGATTACATTTCTACATGTACTCTGAAGTCATTCGTTATTTTCTAGAAAAATCATTCTTGGCATTTTGGCTGGGGCCCCTTTGAATTCATCAATTAGGGAGCGTTAAATTCCATAGACTATTAAAATTGGATCTTCCTACCAAAGAATCTAAATCTGATGATAGGTGAAAATTAAAGAGGATGAAGAAATTTTATATTTCAATTGTAAGATTTTTTGTGGCAGTAGAATTTTGCACAAATATGAGGTATGATCAAACAATATGGTGAATGCTGCTGCCGAGTGCCATCCAACGGAAAGGCAGGGATCTTCAGTATGGGAAGTGGTGCATCAACCCTTAGTAAGAGTGTGTGACAAGTTTCAACTTGTTTGGTGCGATCAGTCAGGTGTGAGCTACAGTTGAGAGAAGGTGTGTTTTAAAGTGTGCCATAAATCATCCTCCATCATGACAATGTTCCGTGTCACACATTGCTTTTGGTATATGGCAGTTTCTGACAAATGAAAACATTTCGGTGTGTCCTCATCCACCTTGTTCACCGGATATGGCACTGTGTGATTTCTGGCTCTTCCCTAAAGTCAAAATGATTCAGGACATCGAGGCAGCCATGACAGTGCAACTAAAGACATTCATGAAAGAGGATTTCCAGAACTGCTTCAGAAAGTGGCAAGAATGATGGGATAAGTGTGTTTGAACCAAGGGGGAGTATTTTGAGGGGATTAATAGCAATGTGTCTTTTACTGTAATACATTTTTTAATTTAAACATTCACCGTATTTTTTTATCACACCTCATCATCGTAACTATTGTAGTAGTTGGCATCGTATCTAGCAGTTAACATTGCACCCAGTATAATTCCTAGTAGAAGAATCAGTTAAAATAGTGAAAGGTAGTATCAGTGGCGAGATTAAAAAGACATTTTGTATTTTATTACTTACATGTTTCCTGTTGTTGCTAATTAAGTTAGGATGGGTGACTGACTGCCTTTTGTAGTAACATTCCAGCAGTTACAGAACTGTTTTTTTTACTATTTGTTACATTTATCTTTTCAGCTCCTCCTCTCCCTGATATGCTCCTTTTAAATTTAGTACCCAGTACAAGTGATAAGCTAGGGGGGGATCCTAAATGGAGTTCTATTTTAAATATATACCCATAGCTCACCGATTTGAATGCTTAACCATCATAGGCTTTAATCTTTTAGTAGTCCAGAAGGGAACATCAAGTTTATGTGGCACTGGTCCAGGACTAGCACATATTTTAAAGGAAACAGATGTGTATTGACTATGCAGCTAGCTCTAATCCCTCAAACTAGATAGAAGTCTAAGTGTGAACCCTTACTTTGCTCAGGGCTATCAGAAGTCATAAGCATGGACAGAATATGAAGGTAATATGTAAAGACAATATTTGTTTTAGTTCTTATAAATAGTAGGCGTAATTCTGTGATTTCCAGATTTATCAGCATTGGACACTATTGAATCTGAGCTCACTTATATTTTCCTCCATTTTCTTTCTCTTTTCCTTTCTTTTTGTTCGTTCTAAAAAATTGCCGTTGGGAGTATAACAAACTGAAAAGGGCAGACATTATTAGCACAGTTCAATGCATTTTCACAAAGTGAACACACTTGTGTAACCGATCAAGCGACGACAATACCAGCTCTCCAAGAGCTCCTGCCTGCCTTGTTTCAGCCACTGCCTCCCTGAAAGGCTGCAGCCATTCTGACTTCTCATAGCATGGATTTGTTTTACTCGCTTTTGAATTTTACTTAGAGGTAATCATATACTATACTCTTATGTTTTCTGATCAGTTTTGATGTTTGTTATTTTTCTTCTATTTCGTAAATTTAAATATTTTAAACATTCAAATATTTTTATAATATTTTGTTCTCTATCAATATACTGTATTAGTTACATATTATATAATCAATATTAAATATTTTTTATTTTCCTTTTTTTAAAAGATTTTATTGGGGAATTGGGGGCGGGGAACAGACAAGTTGCTGTCCTTTTGTTCTTCAGTCTAGTTGTGGAGGATGTCGCTTCACT